CTTCAGATGTCGAGGTCCTCATAATCCAGTCGACCACCAGAAGAAAGAGGAAGGGAGAGAGTAAACAGCCTTGTCTGACTCCGGTCCTTACTTGGAATGCATCTGTCAGCTGTCCTCCATGCACGTAGATAAGATATATCCAAATTAATTTGCAGGTTATGTTTAAGTGTTACTGATTAGCGATTCCTTATTATTAACTGTGTGTAGTTTGACAGTAAAACTTGAGTTTTATCAATATTTGGGTTTTGTGGAGATTTTTAGAAATTCCAGTTGTTGAAATCATGAGTCAACTGAAGCTAGACCACCATGGAAAACCTGGAAGCATTGTACGGCCGTTTCGTCCTATTGTGGGACTCATCAGCAGTGCGCGTCCACGATCCCGCACCCCGCGGCATTCGAACCCAGGGCCCATCAGTCTCGCGCCAGGCGCTTAACCAACTAGACCACTGGGCCGGCATCCAATGGTGTCAGTGTCTAACTTCAACCAATCCACGAAGCTGCGCCACCGTACACCATTGTCTTCAGTGATCTGATATCTCACAACAGACCTCGTTGAACTCCACTTGTAACGACTTCTCACTAGAACTCCAGGAGTATCTCTTGAAATTGTTCACTAGTGAGCAGGTGATTATTATTATTAGAATGGGTTTTGTGGAGATTTTTAGAAATTTCAGTTATCAATATATTTAATAAACATTAAATTAAATAACATAAGCAATCATCTAATATTTGCATTTCTCTAATTAATTTTTCTAATGTGATAGAGTCAATCATATAATGAATGAGCTACCCGATTTCTCTGATACTTTTAATTGTCCAGTTGGAACACTGATGAATCCTAAAAAGCGTTGTCGTGCAGCACTCTAGTGATATTTATCGATGAATCTATTTTAATTCATACACACAAGGTTTTATGTTATAGTATCCATTCAAACTGTAAACGATTTGTATATCTACACATGATTCAAATGAAATGGTAATTCAATTTGATTACTTTAAACTCTATTCACCAGAAATTGTTTACATAGACTTGTATTGATGAAATTTCTCTCCTTTGTAATTTTATAAACATTCGTATATTTCTTTTTAATATTATCTTATAATTAACAACAAGGAAGGGAGCTCTATAAGATGTTTAGATACTTGATTTATCGACAATATTTTACAGATTATAGTTTACCAAGCCCAATTCTTTTGTTTATTTAATAAAGTGAAAATAGAATGCATCAAGTTGAAAATTTGAGTCAAGCTGTATGAAATAGCAAACTATTTTAGTGATCCGTGAATATCTGATTCCAATTTGATCATGTGATTATCACTATCGTCTTACCCAAGTTGCCAATCTTCGCATATAATTATCGACTTAACTTGCGTTAGTAAATAACAGAATTAAGTCAAATACGAGAATGAAGTTTTGAATAAGTATATTTTGAATAATCGTTGATCAGAACAGATAATCAAAGGAGAGATGGAGTGAAGGAAGCGAAGAGAAACGGATTGGAGAAAGCATATGAGCCAAATCACTTTAATTGTTACTCAATATTTATAGTCAGACAAAAATAAGTTAGAAATGTGATGAGTAAGATGAGAAATGCGCACACATGCTCACACAGGCGAATAGTTAGTAAGGTCAAAATGTGACTCAAAAAGGATGAATAAATTGGTCTGTCCGGAAGCCAGAATAAGCTGTGTAGGCTTGACACAAAAACTGACACTACACTTTCATAAAATTACGTCATAGAGTGAAATTAATTGGAGAAATGATTGAAATCTATAGGGGCATTGGACAATCGTTTTGTTCAGTTTAGACTCCTCGGTGGCATATATCTACGACTCCACACAGGACTGAAGAACGAATCTTGAGATCACATAATATGCATCAAGCATTTAAACTGATGAGTCTGAATTGAATGGACCACATAAATGGCCTACATATAAAAATTAGACGAGTAACAATACGTTTCGTGAAATAATTGTGCACGCTACCGTGTACTAGACACCGAAGAAATTCAGTTTATCGTTAAATGAGAACATCCGAGATGAAATTTAAATATATAACAGTCAAAAGGTTTAAAGAACGCACACAGGAAAGTAGTTAAGACATAAATTTAGTCACCACATTGCCATTTAGCAGGACCATTGGGTGTTGAGTCCACTTCAAGTTAAATAACACTGTTGACCTTCGCTTTATGCGTTATGCTCGATAAGTATACTGACGCTGATTAGCCCACAGAAATTATTTCTGTCCTCAACCTGCTTAATCATAAAACTAAGAAAACCAGTCGACTTTCTTCGATTATTGTTTTGTTACGACTAAAAAGGTCGTAATAATAAACATCGACTGCAGGATCACAAACTCGCCATAAGTAGAAAATGACTAGGTCATTTCTAAAAGAAATCTAAGTAACAGGCACATAATTAGATGTAATTTGTAACTAGTAAAACATACATCGACAGTTAGTGAGTTGTTTTAAAGCCTATAGTCAAGAGAATATAAAAATATGGAGAACCAAATACTTGAAAAACGTATAATGAACCATAGCAGAACAATTCCCAAAACCCCACACTTAAATTATCCATCCACATTCAAAAAATCATAATTTCAAAATTATGTGAAAGTACTAAGAGATAAATTCCAATGCAAGATAAAAATGAATGATGAAGTAGTTAAGTAGAAATACTAATGAGCATTCATCGTTAGGGTATAGCAAACTTTGGGGTTCGATTTTATCTCTTAACAGAAATGGCCTCTAAGAAGCAGAGTGCAGAACAGTCATATTGCCAAAGGATTATTGTTAAGGCACACACGACATCTAATTTATGAGTAAGACCAAGTAGATTATGAATGTTTACAATATTGATATTACATGGTTCACTCAGACAAATACATTTCTGGGCATACTGTGCAGTTTATTTTGATCAAAGCATTTCCAAGTACTGACAAAATACCACTTCAAGTTTTTTAATTAATTAGCACTTTCCCATCTTACTACAGAACACAATTTTAGCAAATAAAAATTGACTATAAATAAGATGTTATTGGTAACAAATGTTAAGTTGTGCAATCACCTTCTTTATGTAAACACCACGATTTCCCTACCAACATCTTTACTAAACTGAGTTTAGTGTATTCAACAAGACTGCTACTTATTGTTTTTAGAGTTTACGAATGGACGATGATACTTACTAACGTTGAAGTAGGTTAGTATTTTAATTGTCATATATTAACTGACATATTAACAAGGAGAAATTGAGTACGATAAGTTGATGAAAACGCCCAATTCAAATGAACTCTAACAATTGAATTGAACACTAAGCCGGATGGTATAAAGGCGAAAATTCTCGTTTTCAACTTATATATCATGAATCAAATAGTCCCAATGAACTTGAATGTGAACTGGTATCCTCGGTAACAGGTGTAATCGTTAGTTGATTTCTAATCATGTAACTGCCTAACATTACGCTTTTTGCTTGACAGTAAACGAATTATATTTTACCAGTATTTAAAACATAATTTTTCTCATCAAAAAGATAATTTAAATAAATTACCAAGTATATGCTTATGTGATTTATTAATTTATTTTAACACATAGATATTGGTACAAGGAGGCACCAAATACATATGCACCACACAAATCTCATTTGATTTGTATGAGGGCTGTGGTACTGCTCGGGTGCCCAAACCAAAGCAGGTGGTTTTCTTAGGGGGCCACACCCGGAGCCTTTAACCTAAAGGTCTGATCCACAAGGAAGTGGAGTACCGTGAGGAGATGCAGTTCCATGGTAGCCGGTGACCAACGATTAGTTCATACCCCATTTGTTTCCTTAGGATCCTGAAACCCATGTGCACCATTGGTTTGGAATTAGGGTTTTCCAACTCCCCTAGGCAGACTCACCATGTCCACCGACCCGGTTAAAGCGCCGGACATTCGCTTTTCGTCCTCTCAATTTTGTAAACAACACCCTCGCCACGAGAAGGCAGTGAGTAGGACTTCACTGGCAGAGGCTATATGCGCGTGGCCAGGTGGGAGCATTTCGAGAAGGAGAGCTGACTCTTCCCACTCTCGGGCGTACCAGGGCATTTGGGGCTTATGTGATATGTCTTTAGATTTGAAAAGAGCCACAAACTCAATTTAAAATACCCTGTGTACAGATGTAATAAATTAGTAATATAAAACTATTATTGAAAAAAGTATTCTTCGTTCATATAAGTGTGTTTTAATATAATGGGAATTTTTCATTGATTAATATAAAACTGTTATGCTGCTCCATTAACGTTTATTGGATAATAATCAGTGGCCAAATAGTTAACATAATACAACACTGATTAGTCGAAGGATTGTCAATTTAGTATCGTTTACCTTTCAGGCGTATAAAAGAAATCCTGAGACTCCAAACAATCCTGAGCATCTGTTTGTATATTTAATTTGGTTCATGATACCTTAGTATTTTCACAATTGAAAATCCATATTCCAGTCACTTACTATTTGGGAAGCTTTTGTCATTCATAGATTACAGTTAAACGACTAAATACATTGCCCAGATTTGTATTGCAGATGTCCCCGTAATGTACCTACTGAGATTTATTATTCGTGTTACGTTTATAATCAAGAAAAAACGGGGTAACATATTTTATATTATATGCATAACACCTGAATCATTAAACTCACTGTTTTCGGGTACGTGAGCAAGTCAGAACAACACCCCTGAAGTTACTACAAGAGTCTACGACCACCCAAAATCAAATAGAGTCATCACAAAGAACATAGGACATAAGTATATCAGTCCAATCTACTGTTATCTCGTATAGTTCAAACAAACTATATTGTCCAACTTCTCATTACTTATTGGAGCAACATCCTACCTATCACTGCTTATGTAGCATAAGTACGGTTTACAAGCACGTAGTTATGGTGTTGTAGGTTCAGCATTTGAGGGGTAATTGTAATTTGGCAAGAAATGTGACAGCGAACAAGAAGTTAATGTAAAAATACCCCTTCTAGTTATTGTGTCATATATGTATTGAGTGTTATACAAACAGATTACTGATAAATATTACAGACTGACGAAAACGAAAAAGAAGCATCACTATAAACGCTTAAGTCTGTAAACAAGTAAATCACACAAAAGAACAATGTAAATCAGTTTTCGGAACAATATTTACTCTCTAAATAATAAAACAGAAGGATGATGCGCAATAGCTTTAGCTAAGAATGTGTATATTCACCACTGTCAAAAATAAGAACCCAAACAATTAATCATCGCGAATTTGAAAATCAATACACTGTTCCTTAACTATTCTGCTTATCCTCATCTTCTTTTTCATCTTTTTTTGAACTTCTCTGTGACTGGGACTTAGTTAGAGCATCTATAGCCTTGCGAACATCTTCATTCTGAGTATCCACACCTGGCAAACTTTGTAAAACTGATTCCAAAAACTCAGCATCGTACATAACGTCCAAGTCAGCAGATGTAGGGACAGTTGACGAGTTGAAAGCTGATGTTGCAGCTGCCAATGTACCGGGATTAGGAGATAATTTCGGATTTTCAATGACTTTAGTAGGAGTCTGATCTATATCCATAGCCACACCAGAAGGTTCAACAATAGTCTGTTGAAAATGAGACATTGTAGAGCAATGATGAAAATTCAAAGAAATATAACCACACTGAAATAAACTAGATTGTTAACAAAAACTCACTGTTTATTTAAACCTTTCTGATTAGTCCGCAGAAATACAACAATAAGCGAGTTATTCATAAACAATGTAGGATCTAACGTATATGGGTCTGCTCAAGACACACCACATTAGCACCGAAGGATAAGACTGCTAGATCCAAGAGTAGTAACAGTAGAAAAAGAAACAGGGTATACAATTTCGAGATTCATTAGTGAATGGACCTGCGCCACTATGGACAATTTTGAGCCGTATCATTTAGTCTCTAACTATTGGTACAATAATCACATAGACCCTAAGTGGGCAATCTAATCGCCAGTTAATTCATAGACCGATATTATGGTGTCGTTTGACTGCCCATAACTTTCTCCAAACCTACTCCTGCACCAGAAGACATTCCCGTCGAGGTAAGTGGTAGTTGAACATACGTAACACATATCCCAACCACCTCAATTGATGAAGATTTATTACCTAATCAATCGACTTCCCATCTTTACATAGTATTTTATTTTATTTCAACACATAGATATTGGTACAAAGAGGCACCAAATGCATATGCGCCACACAAATCTCATTCGATGTGTGTGAGGGCTGTGATACTGCCCGGGTGCCCAGACCGAAGCAGGTGGTTTTCTTAGTGGACCACACCCCGAGCCTTTGACCTGAAGGTCTGATCCACAAGGCAGTGGAGCATCGTAAGGAAATGCAGTCCCATGGAAGCCGGTGACCAACAATTGGTTCATACGCCGTTTGTTCCCGCAGGATACTGGAGCCCATGTGCACCATTGATTTGGAATCCTGTTAAAGCGCCGGACATTCGCTTTTCGTCCTCTCATTTCCGTAGACAACAACCCCGCCACGAGAAGGCAGTGAGGACTTCCCTGGTCATTCGTTCCCTCAAGATCCTGAAGCCCATGAGCGCGATTGGTTTAGAGTCAGGGTTTTCTAACTTCCCTAAGTGGATCCTTCATATCCACCAACCCCGTTAAAGCGCCGGACATTCGCTTCCCGTCCTCTCATTTTCGTAAAGAACACCACAGCCACGAGAAGGCTGTGAGTAGGACTTCCCTAGTTGTGGTTGTATGCACGTGACCAAGTGAGAGCATTTTGAGAGGGACAGCTGACGCCCCCCACTCTCGGCCGTACCAGGGCATTTGGAGGCCAGTGCTTAATAGCTGAATTCCGTTTTTATGGCAAGTAATATGGCTGTGATTCATGCATACATAAAATTGCTTTAGAGATGGTGGAGATTTATAGCTCAGGTGGATGATTTGGGTAAAGTTTTGTTCTGAGACGGATGGTTTGGTCGTGGAGCTTCTATCAGCAGCACAAACTTCAGGTAGAAGTTAAGTGTTCTAATTTCCCCTCATATAGCTAACAGCTTTTCCTGTAGACATCGGTGCTGATTGGTTACTGTTATTGTTTACTTCATTATTTTGGCTGTATCTCCCATGGGTTTGATTTTTGGTCCTATATTTGTCTATAATTTTCTGAGTGGTTGATAAATTGGATCGATCTCAATGTGCTCGTTGGTTGCTTATTGGCCCGAGTACCAAGCTTCTAAAAATTCTCTGGTGTTTTTAGAATTACCTCTATCAATATCTCAACATTTTTACAGTCGAACATGTCCACATGCATTGATATAAGTGAGGATATGTCATAGCGTTTGACCGCTAGTTGATGTTCATACAGGCAAAGATGAAGAGGTAGTCTACTTTGTCCGATGTAGTGATTTTCGTAGTTAGAACAATTTATTTTGTAGATGATGTCCGGTTTTTCTTCTGTCATTTCGTCTATTGGTTTACATAGGATTGATTGCAGTGATTTTGTTGGTTTGTATGCAACACCTAGTCCGAAGGGTTTCAGCAATCTCGTTGTAGTTTCTGATATGCTTTTTATATATGGTAGTTTATACTGATGGTGTCGTTCAGAATAACGATGAAAGCTCCACGACTAAACCATCCACCTCAGAGAACAAAACCACCAAAATAAAGTTGCTTTTTATCCTAGATTATAAACCAACAAGGAAATAAGTGAAATCTTTTGACAAATTTCAAACTATCTTATGACTTATTGATATAATGGAAAGAAAAGTCAATTATCGATTGATTTACTCATTATGAGTTCGGTTCAACATTAGTTCCGTTTTGATCCAATGTAATTATTACCCAATGCAGTATTTCTTTTCTTTTCTCGTATATTTTATCTTGTATAATATACGATATTCTTGTATTCCATTGACATGAACTATGCTCAGTATGTGATTTCTTATATCTCAAAGTATTTTTCATGAGATTTCATCCTAATTACTAATCAAAATGGGTGTACAATCAATATATGAATGTATTTTCTACTATATTCGTCGTCGTGTTTTGAGGTTAACAAATCATCACTTGTGTTCTTACTTTCGCATCGTGGGAATTGCAGAGGTCTCTCGTCCCGAGTATAAGTGATAAGCGTTTCCGACATAACAATCAGTGACGACCAGATACAAAAAGTAGCATGAAAAGAGTTAAGACAGTATGCATTCAAACGACAAGTTAAAATACTTATGCTACTGATAAAACGGCATCATTCAGTTATTTATGCAATATTAATCGGATACATTAATCTGATATTAAGCTAAGTTCGAAAGCTCATTAAACCACAAAACCTCCAGTCACTGAGTAACAGTTGGGGTCACACTGCATGTACCTTACGAGAAACCGCGTAGCACCACTAGAATCTAGAGGAAATGAATGTGAAACTGAAATACAAGGACTTGTGATGTGTTCATTATATGCTATTTAAACATACAAAAACAATAAACTAACCTGGTTGGACTCCAATGTAGTGGTAGTAGGTTGAGTCGTTTCCTCCCCCATCTGTTGTAAAGACATACGCAGTGCGTATGCTATCTGATCTTCTTCTGACATAGCTGCCAGATCGATATCCATAGGCAAAGATGAAGGTTCGGTATTATTCATTTGCATTGACATAGCTAAAGCCTGCTGAAGCATAGCTTCTTCGGATGTTCCTGACCCAGCTGGTAAAACATAAACAAACTAAAATTCAAGACCAGATTACAAAAAGTGAGGTGAAGCAATGTGGAGTCCAAAGCGACGTCGGCGGTCTACATTTAGACTTTAAGATTAAAATAATAGGATCACACACAAAAATATTTTGCAATAAGTATTTCGGTTGAATTACACCTTTCTTGGTTATTAGTTTATTTGCTGCTTCAGTCTTACTTAAAATAAGATAGCGTTAATATTCCAGTCGATTGGTTAGGGTGCATTTATATCGCCAGGTAAATAAAAAATTCCACTATAGACAGGCAATACACTTTTAGCTAATACGAGCACGTAACTGGAAGCGTTTTTATGTGCAGAACACTAGTAGAATCTAGTTATACGGTGGAAAAAACGTTGTGACCATTTTTAAATAACTAGGGAAATGGACACACTTCAATGAAGCCAAAATTCCCTTGAGATACTTTCTGGACGCTACACATGAAGATTTATCTGTAAAACAAAACGCATTTTTTAATTACCTGGTAACGATGTTGCTACGACTGAAGTATGACTACCATCTCCATTAACCTCATGTTCTTGACGCATGCGCTGGTCTTCCATTGATACTCTGAGGGCATAGAGTAGATCAGGATCCTCTGCCCCATCTAATCCAAACTCCAAGCCTAACCCAGCACCAGCCATCCCAGAACCGTCCTCACCAGCAACAACGGGGCTTGTCATCAAAGTATCATGTAAGACTGTCCCCGGGGCAACAGATATGAGGTGAGAACCTGTACCATCCTTTCCATTCAGTGTGTCGATGAATTCTGATAACTTTTGCTCATTTGTTTCATTCTCACCAAAATTAATAATATCGACATTAACTTTCTCTTTTTTGAGACGCTTGGCAAGCCTAGTTAGCTAAACACATATGTTGTCAGTCTAAGGAATGAGCTCACTTCTTTTTCATCCTCTAATATAGGACTGCCGATGAAACATACGATTCTCATTTTCTGATGTCTCAATTGACGATGACGAAGTGCGAGGTGGGCTATCCTTATTGATGAGCAGAAGATGATGCTGCCTTTTGGCTCCACAAGGTGTAAACGATTGTATATTTTACTCACATCATTTGTTAGCGTACAGAGTACCTCGGTATTTGCAAGGGACAACAAACCAATGGTATTCTCTGGATTGCGTTGGCGTTTGCTCTGGCAGATCAAACCAACAGCATCATTTTGCGCCTGCAGACGTGTTGGGAAGAAGTCCCCATTCCGCATGTAATCACTATTATCAACTCTGAATTTCGAAAACATTAAATAAAGAGAACCAATTTACGCTATGATCGTAGCTTCCTGAGACATTAGGCATACAATCTAAACTTGGCTCTTTGAATTCAATCCCCAATGTCTGCGTTCAATCACGACTGTAAAAAGTAACATAACAACGCCAAAAATAAAATTTACTAAACTTAAGACCTGTAACACTGTAAAGCATAAACAACAAAATGGTTATTAACTTTAGCAAACTCATTGAATTTCTTGTAAAAGTCACTTTTTACCACGGTGCATCACTTCAAAACTCCTCCTGTAGTTCATCTAGGGCTTATTCATTTATTCACCTGAAGACATAAGTGTTGATATATAATAGTCACCAAATACATATGCCCCACATAATAACAACGAGAATGTTAAGAGATAGAGAATGTAAAGTGAGTTTAAGAAAAACGACAATCAACAGAAATTAGTGTATGAGAGTGAAATAATTATAATAGGAAGAGCAGTTCAGTTAACAGAAGTACAAACAGATAGAATTATTTCGTGTGGAAAGTTCGCCTTCATTTTTTATTAGGAAAGTTACAGAAGGATCACCACTGACGTTTAATCTGAGCCATATCTGATAACGTCTTGAGCCACTATGTTGCAAAATCTCGAGGACCCCAACCAGGGAGACGTGGGGGACCAACAGAGGCCATCCATGTATAGCTTTCTTTCATAACACGATATGTCATGCGCTTACCACCCCTCTGTTTTTCCAATTAGTCCCAACGTCAGCTAATAGTGTACAATGAAGAATTATCTGGAGCGACACTCGTAGAAAATGCCTAAGTCACCGAAGTCGATGTTTCAAGATAGTGTGACTAACTGAATCATCGTTACTGTGACCGAACACAAAATGCCGTATCTCTGCATTCTTAACATGGTGTTGCCACTGAATATCAGCAACCCTTCGGAGATACCGATCAAACACAGAGTCGTCTAACATCCTCAACTCGGAAAGACCAGGTTTCACAAGAATAAACCATAACTGCTCTCACGTTGTAGATCGAACTTTTACAACCTGATTAACATCATAAAGGTGCCAGAGATGGCCCGGAATGAAATAAGTCTCTCTGGCTTTCACTATACATGAATTGATCTCATCACTTACACCGCCAACAGCACTTATGCAGCTACCTAGATACACGAACTTCTCAACTACTTCTATCTGCTCACTATCCAGGGTGAGTGCAGGAATGTGGTGCTGTCAATCTTCTAAAAGTACTTTGCACTTCGAAAGCGTGAAGCACATACCACACCTACGGATATTGATTGCCAACTGATTAAGTACGGATTGGATGCCTTGGGTATCATCATACATTAAGACAACATCATCCGCATACTCAAGGTCGAGAAGTCTTTCTCCGGGCAACAGATCAACACCGACATTACTTACACCCATCAGAGCTGTTTCCAGAATGTCATCGATTGTAAAGTTGAAGATGAGTGGTGAGATTGGCCAACCCCGTCTAACCCCACTGCTTGGATGAAGCATTGGCGAGAGGTGGTTGTATAACTTCACTCTAATCGAGGCGCTTGTATATAGGGATTCGAAGGTGATAATAAACTCAGGTATGCCCTTCTTCAATAGACAAATCCAGAGAATAGTCCTGTTAAACGAATCGAAGACAGCCCTAATGACACGAAACATTACGATTGTTGGCCTGTTATAGGTATGACGGTGTTCTAACATTTGGTGGAGGTTGACAATATGATCAGTACGTCCTCGACCAGAAAGAAAACCAGCCTGCTCCTTGCGAGTCAACCTTTCACAGATTTCGAAAAATCTGCGAAATATGACGGAAGCCAAGGGTTTGGTCGCGCTTGAAAAGGGGCGTAACCCCCGATAGCTGCAACAGAAAGGACGTGAATACTTTATAAAAGTGAGAACAACTATCAGTACAGTCCACGACGTTGGAATACTCTTTATTCGCAGTCAGTTCCATTACCAGTACGTCATCACCAACTTCAAAATGGTCTCAAGCTAAGCAATCCAGACATCCATACCGACGATAGAAATTGTACACCTACCAACACAGAAGAATGATGTGTGGCGGAGGTGTTAAATAACTAACTCAACTATTGTACAATTTAATATTTTCTGCTATATGCGTTATTTCGCTATAGTATAGCAGTACAGCCTCATTAACCCCACTTTATGCGAGAATTCATGATTGTGACTTGCCGAATTTTTAGCTTTTTGGGAATTTTTAGCAACTGAAACTGAATCAAGTTCATTTTAGAAAGGACAGGAAGCTAAATGCCCTGTGTTAGTCCTGGTGATGGTGACCTCTCACTTGATCGAACGTTTTTGGAAGCGCCGACAGATGGGGTTTCAATTGCGTGTTAGGGTAATGAATTCCATTCGTCGATGATTCGATGGGAAAGTCAATAGTCAGTTGACAAGTTATTTGTCTTAGGCTTGTGAACGTTTTCGAAGTATCCTCGCAAGTTTTATGTTTTGATAGACAAGAAAAATGAGAGCATATCAGATGCGAATTTCTCACTAAGTAATCTGAAAACTATGGTCAAGTCACCTCTGGTTCTTCGATGTGACAATGGAAATAGGTCTAGTTTAGCCGGTCGAGCATCATCCTTGAGTTTCACTATACCGGGAATCAACTTAGCTGCCGTCCTCTGAACATTTACCAGAGGCTCACTGTCGTTTTAGGCAGAGGCTAGCCGCTTGTATGTAGTGCTCGAGTTAAGGACTCGCAAATATCGTACACAAAGTCAAGAAATTTTTGGCATGGACATGGCCAAAGTCCCTACGTATTAACCATAGGGTTCTAAAACCGTTGAAGGCTATCGCATTGAGGTGTGCAGCAGTTTTTAAGTCTTGGCTAACGATGACTCTTAAGTCATTGTGTGTCTGGACAACAGGTAGCTCAACGTTATTCATCGTGTATGTATCTGTACCCTGATGACCAATATAGATCACAATGCACTTGAAAGTATTTATCGACAACTGCCGAGTTTGAGACCGTTCAAATAGCTTGGAGCTTCAAAATGACCTGAAGAAATTATCACGTTTACTTTTTGTTACTCCCCATATCAGCATATAGTAGGACCGATGATGATAGAAGACTTGGAAGGCCATTTGCATACAAGGGGAACAACACTGGCCCTAAAACTGTACTGTAATGCACTCTACTAAGTACAGTTTCCCAGCTTGGTAACTTGAGGTGCACCCGTACATTTTGTTGGTGCTCAACTAGGAAGTCTTTTGTCCACATTAATAAATGGCCTTCAACCCCGATGTTACTTAACTTATATAACAGTCGGTTGTGGGAATCATTGTTAAAAGCTTAGCTGAAATTAATATAGGCTGCATCTTAATGTAACTTTTGGTTTTTAAGAGCCCATATGCTGCTATTAAATTAATGAGACATGTAAAACTCGTTCTTTATTCATATTGGATTTAAGAAAGAATCTGGTTTACGTCGAGATACTGTAAAGTGGTGTCGAGTCGAGATTGACTATGAACGCCACTACAAGGAAACATGTACCAAACAAATCAGAAGGCGGAGGTTGAACGTAACCATATTTATTTCGTTAGCGATCTCGTGTTATCAAACGAATACTAAGATCGTGCCAAGAAGTGGTACAAGCGAAAACAGGAGAATGGAGTACGTGCGATCAAAGCCAAAAACCGCGGAACAATGATGAAAAGCACAAAATGGCTGTAATTAGCACATTTAAACAAAAGCACATTAAACACAAGCACTGGTACAGTCGGTTATAATAATAATTGTTCTCGTTAAACCAGTCGTGTTCTTGTGATAAAAGTGAATCACTACAAAACTTACACAACTCCTTTCCGACGGTCTTTTCTAAATGTTAACAAGTGGGTTGGCTAGGCTTACCTGTCGAGATGTTTCAGTTTGTAGAACTTATGGTCTACTATGATATTAGTACTGCTCTAATAATAGACCTAATCCTAAACTTGTAGATTTGTCATGATATGACTGCCTAATCTATAAGATCTTACGTGGAAGTCACACCATCGACTACACCAACTCACTGTATCGTATCAATTACCAATACATGATGTAGAACAAGGTTAGGCTAGAGAAAGAACAATATATTTAATATGAAAAGAAGATATAAGGTAACATTCAGCAGAGACCACGCCTGCATGGCCGAGCCATGCCGTTCGACCAACTCTAGTCTATTCAATTCATTATTCGCGCCTTCTCCATCGTTAGGTATTTCTTCGCGTTAAATATTGAATACCTATTTTCCGAGTAATCTCGTATTCAGCTTTGAGGATAGTGTGGTTATGGTCCAATGCCACTACACTACTCTCCCACCAGAATCAACGTGGTGTTGGTTCGATACAAAATTGGATGGGACTGTAGTGTCCCGAAGGTTACCAAGAATAGTAAGATTCCTCCGGGTGATGACAAGCTGAAAGATAAATCAAAAAGAAGACGGCAGCATCTGGTCGGGAAATACATGTAATAATTTTAAAATATCTGCCTTCATGCTTAACACGCTTACAATGAAAATTTGAGTGATTATTTGAGCTATAAAAAAATGGAATTACAATAATAATAATAATAGTAATAATAAAACGATGCGTGTGTAATAGCCGTTGGTTGATAACTTAACGTATAGGTAGTAAGTATTTTGTGTTTAGAAATATTAAAGTTATGAATATTGTAGAAATGTTAATATTAGTACTACTTTTAGTCTAACTTATGAAATCAAATAACGATTATGCCGGTAAGTTGTCCATATGAGTCGATTTCCAATTGCATCTGTATTAGTAGGCTAACTGAAGGAACAAAAGTATTACCGTGGAGAAGAATTCCAACTAGTGTTCCAGTTAGTTTGATACGGTTTTAATTACGGGGAGATTTTTTTAACCCCATGTTTACCTGACCGTGATAGAATTTAGTAATACTACTAATACACGTGAATGGTTATCAAAACAAAATTTAAATACGTGAGTGATAATTATGTGAATTTTGGACAGATAGCTAGAAACAAATCGTTAAACATGAGTGTATTCTTAAGAGACATGCTCTAGACTCAATGTTCTGATCTGCGGCAGACTATTTATTTATATCTATACTTGCCGGCTGATTGGGTATACAAGT